GAGGAAAAGAGGCCACATATGGGATGTGAGGCTTCCACCCAGTAGGAGGACCCCAACCCAGCAGCAGCTGCTCACCCCAACCACACAGCCTTACCCTGGGGCCCACCAAACCCAGTTGGGATAATTCTTTTTCTCCTGTCTTGGGCAGTTTGTCACTTTCCTTTCACCTTTCTCCCCACCTCTCTTTCTCCTCTCTCCACGGTCTGCTCTACTGCTCTGTCTCTTGCCCAAGTCCCCTGGCCCCTGGTTGATTTCACTGCCGTTTTTCGTCTGTGGCGTCTTGCGTCTTCTTTGGCAGCCTCTGTCTCCAGAGAGGCACTGGGCAGCTAAAGGTGGTCAGAGCCCTCAGGTAAACCCTCCCTCTGCCGGAGTCAGCCCAATGTTGCAGGAGGCTGGCAGGGGGACCCGCTGGGCCTACACAGGCCTGGGATTTGTTCCTTTTCTGTTCCATGTCAGGGAGTGAGGTGTCGGGGTAGAGGGGGTGGCCCAGCTGCCCTGTTTGGCCCTCAGCATGTTTGGGGCTGCAAACAAACGCTGGCTGAACAGTGTGGGATTCCAGGTTGGAGTCCAGGCACCAAGTGCCTTCGCTACCTGCCCAAGGGGACCCACAGGAGTAGAGGCTGCAGGCTGGTCCAGGGCACAGCTACAGTGGGATTCCAAGACTCCTCAGAACAGCCAGGGGCCTGAGGGACAATAGAGGGGCTGCCCTGGTCTCCCCCCCAAAAAAGGTAGAAATGGCTAGAGGCAAGAACAGAAAAGAAGCCTGTAAAATGTGGGGGAGACCAGAACCAGTTTCATAAGGCCACAGGAGGACGTGGATGATAAAGCACTGATGGGACCTGTCTTCCACCCCTTAGAATGGAATCCGCAAGCTGAAGAGGCCACGCTGCAGCCTCTGCTCCAAGACATCCTCCGTACTCTGCCCACTCTAACTCAGGCAGCAGCCACACCTGGTGACCCAGCTGAGGCCATGCCAGCCCCAGTGCACTGTGGCAGGACCAAGGTGTTCATGACTGACTCCACGGTAAGCTGGTTTTAGCTGAGGAGCAGAGGTTATAGAACCAACTATATGCTCTCAGCAGGATAGGGCCTGGGTCCTCCTTGGGGCAGGGGGTGGGTTGACAAAGGACCTCAGTGGATGCCCCTTCTCCCAGCTGGAGCTCCTGGAACATGGGCGTGCCCACGTGCTGGAGCAGTGTGCCCGCTGCATCCAGGGGGGCTGGAGGCGACACCAGCACCGCAAGCAGGAGAGGCAGAGGCGGGCTGCTGTGCTCATCCAGGCAGGTAGGACTGGGGCCCTGGGCACATAGCCTCATTCCAGGCTTAAGTGCAGCTGCTGTGAGCGATTGCAGACCCACATATCTGTTCCTTTGAAATGCTGCTCTTTGAGTCCTCATGTACCAAAGCTGAGTGTCCCAGCCTTTAGGTGTTGGTGGCATGTCCCATGGTGCACTGGGATTCACGTTCCCATCCACCTCACCCAGAGCATCTCTCCAGTTCAGTGGAAATCAGGTCACACCACAAATAAGGGTGCTTTATAGGTAGTGGAAGCTAAAAACTTGTTTTTAATTCCCCTTTCCAAGACCTAGGTAGCTATTTGTACCATCTTTCTTTCCCTTCATGACAACTCAAATCATTACCTGCCCGGCTCCAGGGCTTTTAATGAGCTTAAGGTAAAACCTGACAAGATTTTGGTTCATCAAAGGAAGAAATGTATGAACCATATTCGCTGCAGTCTCATTTTTTAAAATAAAAATACTAGAAACCATCCAAATATTTGAGTGGAAGAATCATGGCTATGTTATGGGCCATCCTTATGACGTAGCTAAGAAGGCTTTTTAAAGGTTATTTTAAATTTAATGGAAAACCACTTCCAATATTATGTTCAAACCTTGGTGCCAAACTGCACAAGAGTGACACCACTTTCATAAGGTGCACGTCTGTATTAGCATGAAAAAGATGCGTAAGGAAAATCTGATAACAGCTGACTTTTATATGTCTTTAAACATTTTAGTTTTCTAGAATCCAAATGTATTCCTATTTAATGGTATAGTCCTTTCTCTGAATATTATTTTACCAAAACGAATCAAAAATGCTGAAATTTCAAGAAGAAAGTATCATGATCAGTCCACCAGCCAGTAGTTATTACCTTTACCAGCATGTGGGTGTCTGGTGGTGGCATTCATGGATTCATCAAGCAAGCAACTTAAACTGAACGGTTTCCAAAAAATAGAACTAATTCTAAAAGATGCAGGCAATTCAGACCCCTCTGATTCCCTGGGAACTGTCCCAGACTGAGCCTGAGGTGGGAGGTGACCGTGCTCCCAACTGTCCCTTCAAGGTATAGGCACTCCCAAGTCTGTGGGCCGTGTGAAGGCCAATTTTGATTCATGTAATGACTTTAGTACCTTACCTTAAGGAGTGTACAAGATAGCCACCGACTAAAAAATACCCATTTCCAACTTTTACGGCAGCTCTGGTGCTGCTGCACAGCCAGGTTACCAATTGTTGTAATGAGCACTGTACTCTTTCCTGTTTCTGGGCAACCCCTCAGCCATTCGTTCCTGGTTAACTCGGAAACACATCCTGAGGCTGCACACAGCTGCCACAGTCATCAAGCGTGCATGGCACAAGTGGCGAGTGAGTATCCGACCCTAGGAGTCAGGGGTGCCAGTGGATGTTTCAGTACTAAATGGACTGGGTTGGAATGCTGGCGTGCCACTGAAAAATAGGCAGCCTCGTATTCTTCAGGCACAAAATAGGCACGCCCCACCTATACTGCAGGGTGCTTGTGGTGGTCAAGAGTGGCATAAGCAACTGGGAACATGCTAAACACCATGGAACTGTAGACTTTAAAGGGGTGGACTTTATATCAATTAGATCTCAATATGGCTAGTTTTTAAAGTAGCATATATAAGGCCTAAACCCAACTGCCTTGGGTCTAAAGTTCTGCCACACACAGCCAGTCTGGTTGAAGGCATCCTGCTGTTCACAGCCAGGTGCCCTTATTTCACCTTGTTAAGCTGACTTATTAAGGATAGTTTTGGTTTCTATTTTCCATTAAGAGCTGATAAAAGCTATAAAGTGGTGTTCTCTTTCTAAGATCAGAATGGCCTTCCTTGCTTCTAAAGAACTGGATGGTGTGGAAGAAAAACACTTGTCTCAAGCCCCTCGCTCCCCAAGCTCCTTCCCGCTGCCCCAGGCACAGACATGGCTCCTGGGGGCAATAATCCGCCTCTGGCCCCTGGGACTGGTCCTGGCCAACGCGGCCGTGGGTGCAGGCGGCTTTCAGAGGAAACTGGTGGTCTGGGCCTGTCTCCAGCTCCCCACCAGCAGCCCCAGTAGCCACACCGTCCAGACAGCACAAGAGCAAGATGGTGTCACATCCATCCGAGCGCTGCCTCAGGTAAGCTGTGATGAGGTGGGTGGTAGTCCTGTCCACAACAGCTCTGAGTCCCTCACATCTCACTGTAAAGGGCAGGAGGCAAGGCCTAGGAATCCACAGCAGGAGCAGGACCAAGGCTAGGACCAAAGCTGTCCTAACCCTGCTGGGGAACCAGAGCCTAAGCTTCCCAACTGGCTGCAGTTACAACTCACACTTTTCCACACCCTTTTCATCACCTTTTAGAAACCGCCTCTAAGTGTTCCAGCATCGCCTTTTAATTAGTCCCGCTTTCAAAAAACTTGGGTTGTGATGACAGCTTATTCCCTCCAGTGGCACTGAACTTGCTACCATGTTTTCCCCAAATTATGTTGCTTGGTTTTACAGCTAAGGAAATGACAAGCAGGTGAGTCATTGGTCTGAGTGCCCTGTGTTTTTACATTAAGGGCAGCCACAGGAAAAAGACAGCCAGCATATAAAATAGGTAAATACTCAAGGATTAAGAGACATCAACAAGGCAGAAGGAAGGAAACAGTGACTTTCCTACCAGAAGAATTACTGTAGGCCAGAATCTGGGGAAAATCTCCCAAGACCACACACAGGCTAGCCAGAGTATAAACAGAAATCTAACTGTTTTATCTTCCAGCTTTAAGCAGTCTTAGGGATGAGACAGGTGATATCCTAGGAAGGGAGAGCTCTCTCCTACTGTTCCCTCATGTTTCACACTGAAGGGATGTGAACTTTTATATTCTAATACCACTCTGGACTTTACCACTGTTCTTGAAAAAGGAGAAAAAAATGGTTAGTTCAGTCCTGCTACTGCCGTGACTCCCATGCCAGCACTTACTGGTCCACACTCCCCTGCATTCCTAGCATTTGCTCTGTAAGGTCCTTTAGGGCCCTGGCTTTCCTGGGAGCTGCACTTAAGCTGCATCTCTCTCTCCCTAGGGCTCGATCAAGTTTCACTGCAGAAAGTCTCCGCTGCGCTATGCTGATATCTGCCCTGAACCTTCGTCCTACAGTGTTACTGGCTTTAATCAGATTCTGCTGGAAAGACACAGGCTGGGCCACGTGTGATCTCGTCTCACCTTCTATCCTCACTTGGCTGGGCAATTCGTGGTGCCTTTGTTTCTACAATTCCTTTTCCTGCCAACTGCCTTGCCAAAGACATTTAATCAACACACAGGTGCCAAACTACTCCCACAGTGATTCCCAGGCCTGTGAGAGAGACAGCTCCAGCCTGCCTGCGAACCAGGGTTGCAGCGGTCAATCCACCACTGGGGCCTGGGGCTCCACCCTCCATCTTAAGCATTGACAGGTGTCAGGGTTAGCAGTTACCAAACCAAGATTAAGAAACAGCAGGGCATTCACATTTTAACTACCTTCGTGGAGCCAACAGCAATCAAACAAGATTGAGAGTTGTCTGTCACTACAATGGGCACCCCCCACCAATTCCCCACAAACAGAACAGGCAGCTTGATATCAGCTCCAAAATTCTGGCTGGGGAAATGCTGCGTTTAGTTCCTTAAAAAGGAATAAAACCTTACTATTTAATATACTGCTGATTTATTTAATTTCAAGCAATTAGATTATGAACCAAGGATGATAAACAATGTAATATACCACAGAACCACTTCTTGATTTTATTAACACTGAGCAAGTTTTCACTCAAATGAGTGTGAAACTTGATAAATTATATCACTTATGATATCTGCCTTAACTGTACCAAAAATAAATAACTTTAAAACAACCATTTGAATGTGTGCTACCTTGACTGCCCCCATCTGCTTGACACCCAAGCCCACAGCGATGGAGGTGAAGACTCGAGTGACCTACCCTACGTCAGCCGGTCTGCGTCCTGGAAATCACTGCCCTTGCTTAGGGCCTCACATTAGCTGGTCTCCTGGAAGGAGCAAGTAGCATGATAGTCCATTTTAAGAATCCTCATTCTGGGGGGGTTCCACGATCCTTAAACAGCAGTCAGCAAACTCCACAAACAAGGGCTCCTGCATGCAGGCTCTCATGAGCTTGGCCTTGTCATCCCCCTGATCTAGGCTGACCATCAACTGTCTAAGGTGTGGATTGAGCAGTAAGCTTCTTAATGCTGCAGACTCACCTTAAAAATAAGAAAAAAATTAGGAAAACCAATCTGAGTTGAAGGGGGAACAGGTGGAGATGGCTGAAAGCTAAATGCTTCAAATGTAATAAATATTGCATCCCCTTAACCTTGAAACCCAAAAATTAGCCCCAATGCTTTACATAAACAAGGTGAGGTAAGCACATCAAATGATTTCCAAGTTAAATGCTATCAGATTACTGTACTTGGTATCTTTGTAAATAATTTCATGCCACTTCAGCTACGAAAAAATATTTCACTACCACAAAAACAGAACAGAATTAGCTTGTTGGCAAGGACAGTTACACCGAATACTCTGAATGATGCTTAAACAAGCACTCGATCCAGCATGAGGCAGGGTCAGTAACAGTGAACTGACTCTAATATCTGTCTGGTGCTTTACAGATTACAGAACTGTTCACACCTATCCCCAGCTCAGCTCCAACCTCAATGTAACTCATCACAGCCATGGAACTGGGTGCAAAGCACCACCTGTCAGGCTGACTCTGTGAAATGGGAATGAAAACACCTGTAGGAACTACCCTGGCCCATTAATTATATAGGTAACGGGACTGCAGGAGAAGTCCTACAAAAATACTGGGCATTATTAACACCCACACCTCTCTTTAAAAAAATCAAGTCCTGGGATTACCCAGTCTGCATTAATGGCTGGATGTAAATGGAGCACTAGGAATATGGGAATAAATGCAGGTCCCTCCCCTGCAGACTGGTGTGAAACAAATTACCATAAAACTCAGTGAGTGGCGTATTACAAGGTACCATGGGAATATGAAAAAGTGTCTAATTCTGAGAGAGTCAAAGGTCAAGGAAAGTTTAACCGAGGACAGGACACTTGAACAAAGCCTTGAAGGAGGAACAGAATTCTACCAACCCACAAAGCCAGTATGACTCCAGGCCAACCGTCTTGCAGATAGGCTGGGAGGTCCTCATGTTGTTTATAGAACCGTGTGGCTGGATGAAGGGTTCTGCATGCCATGCTAAAGTATTTAATAACTTTAAAAATCACATTCTGGCCCTGGCCGGGTAGCTCAGTTGGCTAGAGCATCGTCCTGATAACGCCAAGGTTGCACGTTTGATCCCTGGTCAGGGCACATACACGAAGCAACCAATGATGCATAAATAAGTGGAACAGCAATCAATGTTTCTCTCTCTCCCCCCCCTTCCTCTCTCTCAAAATCAGTAAATAAACATTCTAGACAACAGACTGAATGTATCTCAGTAAGCACAGCACAGACTTACCTAAGTTCTTTAAGTTCTGCAAAGCAACTCTGTCCTCCTCCTCATCACTATTGAGAAAATCAGCTATAGCATCATCGTCATCATCTAAGGGACACAGAACAAGACCAACTCCTAAACAAAGCCAGATTTTAACGACGGCATCCAAGTAGGTCTAGGCAAAAACCTCTTCTCTGGGATTTGTGACTCCTCTTTTAGGAAAGGGAAGGAAAATGAAAAACTGCTGACTTTAACAAATGCATCCTAGTGTTCACACTTAGTCTACGTGTTTCCCTGTGGTCATTAGGCTTGGAAGCCAATTTTCCAATTCTTATCACGCCATCTCTCCTCACCATGGCTCCAGCCCTATGATAGGCCAATAAAGTAGATATGCTCCATAAAACCTGCTAATGTGAATTCCCTCATGGGCAGAAATTGCTGGCATTGCCTGAACCCAACAGGGAAGTTTCTCCAAGGGCAGAAATGGGCCATCTCCTTGCTGTGAATGTTCAATACGTCTTTGATGGCACCAGGAGGGGCTGCTTTCAGAGCTGTCATGCTGCATGACACCCAGGAGGTATTAAGGCTGGCTGGCTGGGATGACAGCCCACTACCACTGTAAGCTGTGAGGAGCCCCAGCAGCAGCAAGTTAACCTAGACCAAAGGCAGCCTCCCACCTAGGCCCAGCTCAGGTGACCTGACAGCCCCAGTCAGGCCCATGGGGGGGGAGACTGAAGCCGTCACTACAAAAGGCTCCCTCACCCCCAAGCCATACCTACGGTCTTTCTCCCCTCTGCCTCTTGCTCCTATTTTTCTTGTCCTGAACGATGTCTTCAGGCTGCTCTATATCACCTGTGACAACATGTGTCCCCACACCTGGTGCTCTGGGCTAAGGCAGCTGCTTCTCCCTAATGAAGACACAGTTCTTGACTCCTGCCCTAGCCCAAGTCTCTTCTTTCCTTTCAACTTATTCTATTTAAAACCCCTTTCTAGGTTTGTTTGAAATCAACTAACCCACCTTTGTTTTCCACAGGTGTTTTTGCAGTAACACCTGATCTTATTTTTTTCTCAGCAGGACGAGTTTCAGGATTGCACTGCTCTGAAAGAGACACAAATTTCAGGAGCACATCATCTCCATTTTAGTGAAAAGGCTGCACCTCCCACCAAGCCAGCATCTAGGTGGGAAGCACATACATGGAGTAAGGGATGTGGGTGGGGGTGGAGATGGATGTAGAGGAAGTGAGAGATCAGGTCAAGAGACAGTATAACAAAAACAAGCAACAGTGAATCTGGCAGAAGACCTCATGGACCCCTAGGACCTGTCGGATCCATCCTTGCCTTGCCTTGCCTAATCTCACAGGGCTTTCATTACAATTAAGTGGTACACTGACTTCAATTAACATCAAACTGTTTTCTCAGGAGTCTCAGACACCAAATTTGCATGTACACATGCAACTGGGCATACATGGATGAAAGTCATCAGGTCCACCCCAGAGGAGTTTAGTCTTAGGGATGACAGCTAAAAAGATGCAAAGGGTCTGCTGATCTAAGTCACCTGAAAGGGCTGGGAGACAAGACCAAGAGGAGTCTTGAAGGGGGAGGTGCTGCCAGGTGAAAGAGCATTTTTGGCAGAGGAAAGGCCTATGGCTAGACACGACCCTTAAAACAGGGTTAGATGCAAAGAGATGGTGACGAGCAAATGCCAGCAGATCGGTAGCTGGGCACAAGTAGAGAAAGCAGGAGCAAAAGAATGCTACACACGGGCTGTTCACTTCCCAAGAGAGGTGTCTCTCAGTAAGGGTGCTATTATGTTCAGAGTGGGAAGGTCTTTAATGCTGTAACATAGTCTCACACACCACAAGATGTTTATTAAAATCAACAGCAGTACCGCTAACCCCTCCTCAGCTACCGTAACAACAAAAACATTGTGATGAGGTATCTCCCTAGGGAAAGCAATAACCAGGTTAAGAACCACTGACTTGCCCTGGCCATGTAGTTCATTGGTTAGAGCACCTTCCCGATACACTAAGGTTGTGGGCTGAATCCCGGGTCAGGGCACATACAAGCAACCAACCAATGAATGCATAAGTGGAACAACAAATTGATGTTTCTCTCTCCCTTCCCCTCTCTCAAAAATCAATGAAAAAAAAACAACCAAAAAACTGACCTGTGCTAGAGACTGGACTTTTCAACAAGGCAGTGAATTGCTCAAATTTACATTTCAGAAAACTCACCCTGGCAGTAGGGCTGCACAGATAAGAGCTCCTGATTGGGTTCTTAGAGGGGCCTCACAGGGATGCAGGGTGAGAGGGAAGTGCTCTGGGGGACCCAGCTCTCCAACCCTATTTCCAGAAAAAGTTTTACTTCTTTCCTGTCTATTTAGCTTAAAGGTTTCTTTTGAAATGCTCCAGATAGCAGGGGGGTGGGGGTGGGAGGGAAGGCATGAAACATACTCCTGAGAGGGGATAAAAAGAGAGGCAAACAACTATCGAAGAACTTTAACAACTGAGTCAACCAAACAGGATGTCGTGGGAAAGGGTCCCTGAGGGCTGAGAAGAGGAGCCAGATTGGGGAAAGTTAAAATGTAAACCTGCCAACAATTAACAGCCACGGGCGTAGCTCCTGATTTATAAACAGATCTCATTGTTTCTAACAAGATAAGAAAGAATGTTCTTAGCCAGCGCAACTTGTGCCAAAAGATGAGGGGCTCTGTCGGAATATGGAAGGTGAAATCGCTGGGTTGACATTTCCGGCAGAGACGGTCGACTGTTTTTAAAGAAAAAAAGGGTAGCACGTAGAAAATAGGCAGAGCAGAAGAAGGGTTTTGACTGTTCAAAACCTGGTGAGGCATTCACAGGCAGAGGAGACCCGGCAGGACGGGGCGCGACGAGGCCCGGGGGAGACGGCGGCGGGACATAGGAGCTGCCCCGCACGAGGAGGGGGGCCGGGGCCGAGGCGGGGGCGCGGGGCCTTACCTCTGTGCTTCCGGAAACAGGTCACGGAGCAGCTGTAACAACAGAACCCACAGGGCGCCTCAGCCCGAGGCCTAGCAGACCCTCCCGCAGCCCCCGCCAGGCTCCCGGCTCCCGCCCCCCATCCCCG